TAAACTTTTACATTTTTCTAACAACAATTGATTTAGTCAAGTGGAAATTAACACAAGTTAAAATTACCTAAAAGGTACAGAATCATATTACAAAGTGTAGGAGGAGTTCCACCTCTATACATATATTTAATAGGACAGACCCCTAAAGCAACATTACAACTGCTATCTATTTTAAGAAGAACACATAAATATGACGAGTTTTGCTATTTTTACTTCTGCTAATACACCCACTTCTAAGTTTAGTTTCTAAATATAAATTTGTCAATTTTTTTTTTCATTTTAAATCAAATTTCTTTTGAATTGTTAATAGAAATTTAAGACGATTTTTATGTAGGATTTAATGTTAAATCAATTAAGGATATTATTACAAATCTGGGAGGTTTTACAAGCTCTAAAGTAGCTTAACGTTAAATTGTTAAAGGATTAATGTGAATTATATAAATTAATATAAATAGATCATTTGTGATAAGACTGCCATAAGTGCAAATGTTAGATTTATTTAAATTTAAAATAGAAAAGTTACTTTTGGTCAACTTTTCTAGTAAAAAGTTGATCAGATTCTGAGCAACTTTTCTAATAAAAAGTTGATAAGAGTCTAAGCAACTCTTTAAGTAAAAAGTTGATCAGAGTCTAGTAAAAAGTTGATCAGATTCTGAGCAACTTTTCTAATAAAAAGTTGATAAGAGTCTAAGCAACTTTTCCAGTAAAAGTTGATCAGAGTCTGAGAAACTTTTCTAGTAAAAAGTTGATCAGAGTCTGAGCAAATTTTTTTGTAAAAGGATGATCAGAGTCTGAGGAACTTTTCTAGTAAAAAGTTGATCAGAGTCTGAGCAATTTTTCTAGTAAAAAGTTGATCAGAGTTCTGGCAACTTTTCTAGTAAAGAGTTGATCAGAGTCTAAGCAAGTTTTCTAGTAAAAAGTTGATCACAGTTTGAGCAACTTTTCTAGTAAAAAGTTGACCACAGTTTGAGCAACTTTTTTAGTTAAAAGTAAATGTGGATCAGAGTCCGAGCAACTTTTCGAGTAAAAAGTTGATCAGAATAAGAGTCTGAGAAACTTTTCTAGTAAAAAGTTGATCAGAGTTTGAGCAACTCTTCTAGTAAAAAGTTGATCAGAGTCTGAGAAACTTTTCTATTAGAAAGTTGATTAGAGTCTGAGCAACTTTTCTCCTAAAAAGTTGAGAAGAGTTTGAGCAACTCTTCTAGTAAAAAGTTGATCAGAGTCTGAGTAACTTTTATATTAGAAAGTTGATTAGAGTCTGAGCAACTTTTCTATTAGAAAGTTGATTAGAGTCTGAGCAACTTTTCTCGTAAAAAGTTGAAAAGAGTTTGAGCAACTTTTCTAGTAAAAAGTTGATCAGAGTCTGGTGATCAGAGTTTGAGAAACTTTTCTAGTAAAAGGATGATCAGAGTTTGAGGAACTTTTCTAGTAAAAAGTTGATCAGAGTCTGAGCAACTTTTCTAGTAAAAAGTTTATTAGAGTCTCAGCAACTTTTCTAGTAAAAAGTTGATCACAGCTTGAGCAACTTTTCTAGTTAAAAGTAAAAAAGGTAATCAGAGTTTGGGCAACTTTTTTAGTAAAAAGTTGATCAGAGTCTAAGCAAATTTTCTAGTACAAAGTTGATCAGTGTCTGAGCAAATTCTCTAATAAAAAGTTGATCAGAGTCTGAGCAACTTTTCTAGTAAAAGGATGATCAGAGTTAGAGCAACTTTTTTAGTAAAAAGTTAATCAGAATCAGACCAACTCTTCTAGTTAAAAGTTGGTCAGAGTCGGAGCAACTTTTCTAGTAAAAAGTTGATCTAAAAATAATTATCCTATGAATGTTTTACTTTTAAAAATTTTCTTCCCAAAATGGTTTCTGTATGAAAACCATCTCTCGGAAACATCATTTATATTGAAACGTATTTTTCTGAAATAGTTTCCAATACCGAAATATCGCCTCAAAATATTATCTTAAAAAATCAATAATATAAATTACAAACAAAAATACTAAACTCAACAAATTAAATCAATATTATAAAACAAATCAATTAAATAAATAAAAATATTTTATTTTCTTTCCTGCCACCAGTCACCACCACTATCATTGTTGACATTTTTAAAATAAATAATAACAAAAAAAGTTAGAATGAATCCTTTGACTTTCGAATATTTGCACAAAAACACAATTCAATTCAAACTCTATTGGCTTCAAGTGTTTTTTTCTGGAATGATTTTATTCTTTTTGTTTTTATTTTTGTACGACTCTGAGGTTTTTGAAAATTTCTTGTCGTTATTCTTGGGATTTATACATGCAAGTATGGAGAAAAAGTTAAGGCGTGTGTTTTAAACACAGGGTTAAAAACAGGGTTTTTAAGGAATGCACTTTAACTAAGGTGAAGGAAGAGAATTATAATTCAGTGAGTATGTCACATGAAAAATCGTGTACTTTAGAAGATTTTGGTTTTTAATAGACCAGGATTTAAGTGATAACATTTTCAACATAGAAATGATTTTTTAAGTTTTTTCCACAAAGAAATTATTTTTGCCATAAAATGAACAAATTCTCTATTTGCTCTGATATCAACTCAAGAACTCAACCAATGAAGCCTGAAACATTTGAAGAAGAAGTGCTTTTAATACACTCTAATATTCTCACACACTTTTGTATTGATGTAAAGAATACAGTAAATATTGCACATACATATAAGAATGTACATTAGGGTGGCCCATGAAAGTTTAGTTAATTTCCTTTAATATAAAAATCTTAATTAAAATCCTTATTTAATACAAAAGTCAGGTCAGGCTGTCAAGTCGAAAGCTGTTCTAGTTCAGTTCTAGTTCAGTTCTAGTTCAGTTCTAGTTCAGTTCTAGTTCAGTTCTAGTTCAGTCTAGTTCAGTTCTAGTTCAGTTCTAGTTCAGTTCTAGTTCTAGTAGTTCTAGTCAGTTCTAGTTCAGTTCTAGTTCAGTTCTAGTTCAGTTCTAGTTCAGTTCTAGTTCAGTTCTAGTTCAGTTCTAGTTCAGTTCTAGTTCAGTTCTAGTTCAGTTTCTAGTTCAGTTCTAGTTCAGTTCTAGTTCAGTTCTAGTTCAGTTCTAGTTCAGTTCTAGTTCAGTTCTAGTTCAGTTCTAGTTCAGTTCTAGTTCAGTTCTAGTTCAGTTCTAGTTCAGTTCTAGTTCAGTTCTAGTTCAGTTCTAGTTCAGTTCTAGTTCAGTTCTAGTTCAGTTCTAGTTCAGTTCTAGTTCAGTTCTAGTTCAGTTCTAGTTCAGTTCTAGTTCAGTTCTAGTTCTAATTCAGTTCTAGTTCAGTTCTAGTTCAGTTCTAGTTCAGTTCTAGTTCAGTTCTAGTTCTAGTTCAGTTCTAGTTCAGTTCTAGTTCAGTTCTAGTTCAGTTCTAGTTCAGTTCTAGTTCAGTTCTAGTTCAGTTCTAGTGCAGTTCTAGTTCAGTTCTAGTTCAGTTCTAGTTCAGTTCTAGTTCAGTTCTAGTTCAGTTCTAGTTCAGTTCTAGTTCAGTTCTAGTTCAGTTCTAGTTCAGTTCTAGTTCAGTTAGTTCAGTTCTAGTTCAGTTCTAGTTCAGTTCTAGTTCAGTTCTAGTTCAGTTCTAGTTCAGTTCTAGTTCAGTTCTAGTTCAGTTCTAGTTCAGTTCTAGTTCAGTTCTAGTTCAGTTCTAGTTCAGTTCTAGTTCAGTTCTAGTTCAGTTCTAGTTCAGTTCTAGTTCAGTTCTAGTTCAGTTCTAGTTCAGTTCTAGTTCAGTTCTAGTTCAGTTCTAGTTCAGTTCTAGTTCAGTTCTAGTTCAGTTCTAGTTCAGTTCTAGTTCAGTTCTAGTTCAGTTCTAGTTCAGTTCTAGTTCAGTTCTAGTTCAGTTCTAGTTCAGTTCTAGTTCAGTTCTAGTTCAGTTCTAGTTCAGTTCTAGTTCAGTTCTAGTTCAGTTCTAGTTCAGTTCTAGTTCAGTTCTAGTTCAGTTCTAGTTCAGTTCTAGTTCAGTTCTAGTTCAGTTCTAGTTCAGTTCTAGTTCAGTTCTAGTTCAGTTCTAGTTCAGTTCTAGTTCAGTTCTTGTTCAGTTCTTGTTCAGTTCTAGTTCAGTTCTAGTTCAGTTCTAGTTCAGTTCTAGTTCAGTTCTAGTTCAGTACTAGTTCAGTTCTAGTTCAGTTCTTAAGAAAGACTGTTTCAAGAAGACTCTTTTCTGTAATAAAACTGTCTCAAAACGAAGAAACTATTCTATAAGAAAACTGTCTCAAGAAGAAACTTTTCTATAAGAAAACGGTCTCAAGAAGACTCTTTTCTATAAGCAAACTGTCTCAAGAAGACACTTTACTATTAGAAACTGTCTCAAGAAGACATTTTTCTATACGAAAACTGTTTAGAACAGACACTTTTCTATAGGACAACTGACAAGAGGTTACACTTTTCTATAAGAAACCCGTCTTGAGAAGACAATTATCTATAAGTAAACTGTCAAGAAGTCTATCGGAAAATGTTTTCTTTTGGAAATTTATTCTGAATATGAAATGTAAGATTCCAAAATTCCTTATCGGTGTTTCCCTAATATGAATATTTTTGTGTAAACTCATACACTTCCTGGTTGCCTGGTACTTTTAAATACATACGCATGCAAAAAGGGTAAAAGAAAAAATCACATTCTATGGATTCTAGAGAAAAACCTTTTCATGCGTTCTGGTAAATGTAATTGCATATGGATATGAATGCTCCCAACCTACAGAACATCTATTATTTAAGAAGCTCCTTCCATATAAATGCGTTTGTTTAGATATTTCTTTGTTACGACTATGTCTTGCACTTGAGCAAAACAGGAGGTAAAGAAAGAGACAAAACCGTAACCACATATAAACCTCACACAGAACCCAATATTCATACATCAAGGAGTGCACATGCAGCAGCCAGTCAACCACACACTTGAATGGCTTTTCTTTTATATTATAAAATAAAT